GCTCATGTCCATAGATGAAGGTAGGAACGTAGATCGACCGGTAAATCGAGAGCTTCACTTTTTGACTCAGCTCTCTCTTCACCACGACGGACCGGTACAGCGCCCGTTTCACAACAGGCGCCCCAATCCGCCTGTTGATCTCCCGCTCCCTTCTTCCCTCATTCGTGAACAAGATCCCCAGATACTTAAACTCCTCCACTTGAGGCAGGACGACCCCCCTGACCCGGAGAAGGCACTCTACCCTTTTCCGGCTCAAGACCATGGCCTCGGATTTGGAGGCACTGAGCCTCATCTCGGCTGCTTCGCACTCAGCCGCGAACCGCTCCAGTGAGAGCCGCAGATCACGTTCCGATGAACACGTTCCGATGAAGCCAAGAGGACCACATCATCCGCAAAAAGCAGAGATGCAATCCCAAGGCCACCAAATGGATCCCCTCAACACCTCGGCTGCACCTAGAAATTCTGTCCATGAAAGTAATGAACAGAATCGGTGACAAAGGGCAGCCTTGGCTGAGTCCAACTCTCACCGGAAACGAATCCGACTTACTGCCGGCAATGCGGACCAGACTCTGACACCGGTCGTACAGGGACCTGACAGCCCGTATCAAAGGGCCCGGTACCCCATACTCCCGGAGAACCCCCCACAAAGCCCCTCTGGGGACACGGTCGAACGCCTTCTCCAAGACCACAAAACACATGTAGACCGGTTGGGCGAACTCCCAGAACCCTCCAGAACCTGCTGAGGATGTAGAGCTGGTCCAGTGTTCCACGACCAGGACGAAAACCACACTGCTCTTCCTGAATCCGAGATTGGACTAACCAACGCACCCTCCTCTCCAGGACTCCTGAATAGACCTTACCAGGGAGGCTTAAGAGTGTGACCCACCTGTAATTGGAGCACACCCTCCGGTCCCCCTTTTTAAACAGGGGGACCACCACCCCAGTCTGCCAATCCAGGGGAACTGCCCCCGATGTCCATGCGATATTGCAGAGTCGCGTGAGCCAACACAACCCTACAACATCCAGAGCCTTAAGGAACTCCGGGCGGATCTCATCCACCCCTGGGGCCCTGCCACCGAGGAGCTTTTTCACTGGATGGTGGGCCAGAATCGCCTCGAAGCCGTACGGAAGTCTTTCTCCATGGCCTCTCCAAACTCCTCCCA